TGTGTATATGTGATGTTCCCACTGAATCAAAACCATTTGTTCAATGATTGAGTCAAAATTTTAAAATGTAGGAACCTTGTTTTTTTCGGCCCGTCTTATTTTTTTCGCCCGCTCGCAATAGATTTGGAGTCTGCAGAGGATGTCGTCCATAAAATTTACTTGCTGTGGCCTTACCAGTGCGTAGAAAAGGAGGTTGAAGTACACTGCCGTTCAACTTGCCAAATCCTTCGGCATGGGAGAAATTAGAGAGCTGGGGCAATGTGCCATCAAGTACGAAATTGTATTGGACAGTTGATCTTCGAAACATGAAAGAGCATGGACTTTTCTACAAAGAATTGCTGTCGTCGTATAGAAGAGATTACCTAATGTTGGTGTGTGAGCCTTTAGATGTGTAAAAGTCATTTTCTGCCATAACAATAAATGGTTAAAAGATAGATAACTTAAAAGATGGTTAAGGATGTGTTTTAGCTTAAGGTGTCGTACGGTTTGCTATGGTGGGATTTTTGGACAGAATCAAACGTTGACAAGAATCTACAAATATTTCCGTCACAAACCTTTTGCACAACTACGAATTCCCTCAATGACTAATAAACTGGGGGGCGTACCAACTACTAGGTACCTAGTATAAGCTCAGAAAAGAACAAGAAATAGTAGTCATGCCTTCAAGTACCAGAGTTATCAACCAAAGATTGAGGTGTTCAAAAGCTAGTTTTTCCCTAGGACCATCGTCTGTATCTGTATCAGTATAGCCGGTATAACCGCCTTTTGGCGTAACACACCAGCTTCGCACGCAGGCACGCGGCGCGGCGGCAGCTGGCTATATTACACCAATCGACTTGTTACACCTAGCCCTTGGGCATCTAACTCTAGACATTGTTTAAAGCTATCTAATGATAATGCACCTACTGTACTAGGTAACAACGAGTTCCACTCTGCGATAGTTCTAGGAAAGAATGAATTCTTGAACGCCTCAATCCTTGGTTGATAACTCTGGTACTTGAAGGCATGGCTATTTCTGGTTCTCTTCTGAGGTGGTATTAGGTACTTAGTACTTGGGACGTCCACCAGTTTATTAGTCATTCTGTACACCATGCATAGTCTGGACACTGGTAGAGTGGAACTCGCTGTCACCAAGTACAGTAGGTGCAGACTTTTTCCACTACGTCCCAGGGCACTCAGGAACCGATAACTGGTTCGCGCAATATTGAACGACAGTCTTACATCAGTCGTAAACAAGCACAGTTTGGAACTTACAAATGACTGGATATTCGTTGGGGGTGACTCCAAAAGTATTACATAGAGAGGTTTGCTTGAAAGCTATATTGATTTTCGTGTAAAAACCAAATCTTGAAATCCAAGTTGAGTCTGTTCCCGGTAGTAGTTCGTCCAGGCACTTCGGCAGTCGTCTGCGTTTATTGCTGTAAGATATTAGGGTAAGTTGTCGAGGGCGCCGTTTAAATGGCAATGGAGTCCACTCCTACGGTCACAGACGTCCATTAAGCGGGAGGGTACCAAATTTTGTCGGTCTCTGATGAGAGAACGATCCATAAAAAGTGCAGAAAGCTCGCCTATAACTGCAGATGGACTAGACCCTGAAAAAATGTGAGGTACAAATGATACAAACCGTTTTCCGTCAGCGACATCGCATAGGTTTTGCCTCACAGATATCAGTATGCTATGGGATAGGATTGATCTTAATACATTAAAAGAAATGACCAAAAAAGTAGACTTTGCAAATTCAGTTTTGTCCCCCTGAAATTGCATTGGATGCCTTTGAGTCTTCTCACGTTTAGATTCACCACCTCAATCCGCGACTTTCTCCCAACAAATCCTGCCTGACTCGGAGGGACGTAGCGGCGCATTTTGGTTAAATCAGGCGTGACAGCACTGACAAGAACGACATTTTCCTTCTTATGGCACTTAGAAGGTCGGGCCGAAGTTCAAGGGCTTTGGGTACGGAAGGATCAGGGTTTAATTGAAAGATGGGGGAAGCCATCTACAACAGGGTACACCGACCTTAGCTTTCCTCAACCGGGACGGGGGGCGGTACCGACTTCCGACGAACTTTGACCATGTGATGGCGTCAAAAGGTCAAGAGCTTTGGGTACAGAAGGATCAGGTTTGAATTGAACGATGGGGGAAGCCATCTACTTTAGGGTACACTGCCCTTAGCTTCTCTCAACCGGGACGGGGGGCGGTACCGACTTCCGACGATCTTTGACCTTGTGATGACGTCACACGTGGGACCAAATCACGTTATCTAAGTCAGATAGCTGGTGACAACCTAGAGGTTCAGTCGAGAATTTCGTTAAGCCACTTTGAATTCTAGAGCAGTTTAATTCTCAAGATTTGTAGTGCTTGGTAGTGTAAACAGTTGTGTTGAATTGTCATCTTTGAAGTGTGATGTATGCAAACAGTTTTTTTTGTGATTTTGTTTGTGACGTGTTTGTTTGCTTGACGTGTGCCCGCAGCTATTTGAATACAATAGAGTCGGGGGAAATGGTGTAACCACAGACTGACGGGAAGGTCAAAAGGGTCTCTCCCCATTGGATAACAAATTGGAGGACAAAACGGTCTCTCCCCATTGGATAAATGCTTGGCCCAAGGGAAACAGAATAAAAGATGGACACCGCCCTATACACCGAAAGGTGTGGGAAGTTTTTTCCAAAGAGTTTCGTTGGAAAATAAAGCACATTCCGTCCATATGATTTGTTAGGTGTGACCTGCAATTCCTACGTCCAATTTCCCTGCTTAGAGAGCGTGTGGGAGGGTACTTTATCAGACTTTTTAAGGCTTCAGTGTTCTTTCGTGAGGTCTCCGTGGCACGAAAACCAATTTATGTAGTAATGAAATGATATTTAGAGTTGATTTTGCACATAAATCGTGTAGGATATTCCTGGATCCAATAGTTCCAGCATATTGAAAACAGAAGTGTTCTAGGATTTTTGTCAAGATTGTTTTAGAATTATTCTACACAATGGTTGAATGGTTTTGAATGCTGTATATCTTGTATAAAATTTCTGATTCTTGAATAGAGTACACACATCTCTAAAGTAAGGGCAACGAAAGTCGAAATTTGTTCACCTACATTTGTACCATACGCAAAAAATAGCAATGCAGAGTGCTAACTAGAAAGGTAACATTTGCAAAGCAAATGCATAATGTTTACCTTCGCATATGGCCAGTTACTTAATTCTAACTCAAAACATTTAAATTCACTTCAGGCAGGAGAATAAATCCCTCCTGTTATAAAATTGAAACATGATGTAACCCAACACTAGTTACCATGGTGACAGACGTCTGGTTCAGGTCATTGACCTTATTGGTATGGAGAAATAGAAGAAGAGGAAACAGAGCAAAAACAATGTTTTCCTTCGGTAAACACAACCAGTGAAAAATCGCCAGCATTGCACGAAATCCTATATTTAAGCAACCCTTAAAGCCTAGTACGTAAAGACAGACGCGATTGAAGAAACGGTACCTTTACGCACTCTTTAAGTTGTGCGTAAAGGATAAATTCTGTGCAGTGCAGATCAAAGCCTCTACATATAAATCATTTCTTTCAAACATCCCTGACCGTGTTATGAGCGCAAAAGCGTTTTCCCCTTCTTTTCTTTACATTGGACGAGACTATCGATTTTTCTTGTTCAAAACTTCAAGTGTTGATGAGACCCAAGACTATCTAAGACGACATTCTTCAAACACAATTATCTGGCAAGCTTCTAAAAGACGCGTACATCTGAAATACAACTTCTGATTATCAGGCTACAACATGGGAAGAACGAGTATCGATTGAGGAACTGAACATAACATTCAATTTGTGAAGTCTGCGCCTTAGAGTAAAGGGAGAGCACAAAGTAATGATAGATGTTTGCCTGGAAGATAGAACATGGTGTACTGGGAAATAAAAGGCTGTACACTTCAAAGGGAACTGGGGTTAGCATTAGGTGAGGATTGATTTTAACTTGCTGGAAAAATAATCAATGATGTCGGTAGTTCAAGGGCGTTGTATGAACATTGCCATTTTCATGTAGATATTGGGGTTGAAAATATTGTTAGTAGCATGGTAAATACGCATTTAAAAAAAATCTGTTTGAAAATGATTTATCTTTGGGATTGAAATATGATATGAAAAGTACATCAAGCTGTCGGAAGTGATGCATATCACTATTTTTTATTTTATTTTATCTTATTCGATTTTCACATATATTTATTGAGTATGACGCAAAAAGTAAGAGTTGCTTATATGAAACCTTCTACTCAAAAACATACAACGAGTATAAAACACATTGACAAGATACATGCATACAAGATAAGTACAAACAAGACAAGTTGGTCTATGTCACTATGTAGTCATGGATCATGTTTAAAGCGCCACCTACCAGAATGGCTTAGAAGTACATGTTCCAGTGAACTAACATGTTCCATGCTACTACTAACAAGAATTTAGAGATCTCAGACCTCCGTCAAAACATTATGTTTACAATTCATGGCTTTTAAGGAGGGGTTGAAAATCTCTCATTAAAACTGGGCTTCATTTGCCTAGACAACGACTGATGCAACGTAACCCCTTTGCAATATTCTTTTGAAACCCCCCTTTTATCGTGCAAGAGAAACAGCTGTCAGGGAGGTCATGTAATGAAAAACACCATCTATCAGCTGTCAAGGAGGTCATGTAACATAAAAATACGTATAAAAGCAGCGAGTGCTAACAGATGTAGAAGTGGTAATGACTTTCTCACTCTAGAACAGACTGAACCCAACCATATCCATTACAACCTGACAACGTGGAAACACTGACACACATACAAACACACAGACCAAAAACAATACTTCCATTTTTCATGGAGGTAACTAACTAGTATAGTAAAAAAAATCAGACACATAAAACATTTTGTTTGGCAATTTATTGAAGAGAAAGAACTCAAACAAACGCCTGGATACTTCCATTTTTCATGGAGGTAACTAACTAGTATAGTAAAAAAAGTCAGACACATAAAAACGTTTTGTTTGGCAATTTATTGAAGAGAAAGAACTTAAACAAACGCCTGGAAGGACTTAGTACTTCCAAACGCGGATGGTCTTGACTTGCAAGGCGGCGTCTTCTCCGTTGTTGACGTCGGCGTTCCAAGTCGGGTACCACTGGTTCTTGGCCATCCAGAAGTCCTTAAAGGCGGTGGGAGACTCGTTGCTCCACGGCTTGCCTGACGCGAAGGTGTCCTGGTCACTGAAGAAACCGTTGGTACCACCCACGGCAAGGTTCAAGATGATGTAGAACTGGGGAAACAAGAGCGGTGTTTAACAAAACATATTGGCGATGTTTAGCCTGTACTGGTCACTGAAGAAACCGTTGGTACCACCCACAGCAAGGTTCAAGATGATGTAGAACTGGTGCTTGAAACAAGAGCGGTGTTTAAAAAAACATATTGGCGACGTGCTTCCAATATACACAGTGAACTTTATTGACACAACAAAAGTACGGCGACTATCGTAAGGTCTTAACTACATGTAGACAAACAGACAGATACGAGGGTACAACAAAACCAACTTACGTACAGGACAACATATGGATCAAATTATACTAAAAGTACTTGTTCTAAGGTCTAAACATCCTTTGATATATGTACCCATTTGTACACAGTAAGGGTTATACATGACATATGCAGTCACAGAAAGTGCATGTGTCGCATATTGTGTTCTAGTGTTCTTGTGCATAGTGTTCTAGTCCCTCTTGTTCCTATAGCTTGTGCCTGGCTAAATTTAAGTGAATTAATAGACTATACTGTCAATTCTAGACATTTGTTGGCAAAATACGGCTGACTATTTGGAGATACCGGTCTAGTTAAACTTTATATAGATATTTTATGATTAGTAGTTTTGCACAGCTACCTAATCAACTTGCACATTTTAAGAAATAACTAACCTCGTGGTCGAAAGGAGCGAGCTTGCTATCCGAGTACTGCCAGGGATTGTGGGTAGCTGCTCCTTGGGTCTGCGAGAACTCGCCCAACTCCCAGAATCCTCCGGGGCCGGGGTCAACCTTCATGATCTCCTGGTCGTCAAGGTAGAACCTAACACAAGGTCAACCAAGGTCATAAACATTACTACATGTAGTTCGAATAGATTGATTGATACAAGCTACACATTGAGTAAAGAGACTCTTTCTACACAACCAAGTCTTTTATTCAGCCGACGTTTGGGTGACCGTCTGTCACCTTCCTCAGGGCAATTCTGATTGGTTCACATTGCACTCTCTTTCCTCAGTGACTTATCAACTACAAATGTATTAACACTGTCTTGTGATATCTGTGCTCTTGCATGCGCTACGCTAAACCATAAACCATGGTGGCTTTCTTTTTAAAATTCTCATTTAAATCTCGAAAGCTACCTTTTCCCTTCCCTCAAATGTCATTTGTTAGATGTATTGATGACTTACGTCAAATCATTCTCGGTCCACTCCAAGCCCCACTTGTGGAAGCGGTCGCCGAAAGTTTCTCCGCTCAGAGTTCTAAAAAAGACAAAAGAAGCAAAGGGTTGTGTGGTTGTAGAGTTAGTCCACTTTAGAACATGTAATAAAATGCTGTGCAAGAAGATACAAGCACATGTAAGTACGAATATATCTCGAATGACAGAGATGTTGGCCAATGAAATGGTTTGTTACAATGACTAAGGTGTCTAACTACTGAGATAGATCACAGTCATGCATTGGCGCTCACTTGGTCACGTGAGTCTTGGCGTAGCCGTTGACTGGCCAGTACGGGCCCCAGTGCATTGTGGTCCCCATGGAGTCCACGCCAATGGACTCGCCCTGTGAGTTTCTCGCGTTCTTGTTCCCGCGAGATTCCATGAGATCGATCTCTCCCGAGGCCGGCCATTGGCCATAACTGTTGTGCTTCGGCAACATCCAGATAGCTGAAAAGGGGGCAAAAGGGTTTGAGACATCTACAAAATTTAAATTTAAATTTTGTTGCGTAATTTTAAGATTTGTGACTTAATATATTTTTGAATACGTTTTAAAAACTCAATTCAATGACGAGAAAACGACTACGAAAACTTCTGATTTATCAGTTCACTAATTGATTTACAGCTGACGTATTGGTCACGTGTTCTAATTTCATTGGTCATTCTAACTTGAAGGTGGCTGCGGTAGAGATACAAAGAAATGTAACGGGCTTCATTCATAGTGTGGGAATACATATTAGCATGAAAGTTTATCTGAGTTGGTAAATTACATAGTGAACATTAAACTGTTCTCCAACTCAGCTGTGACGGGGGGCGACACCGACTTCCGACGAACTTTGACCCAGTGCTAAATAATCACGTGCCTGTAGCACTTGGGCCAGATAGCCGAGAGATTTGGTCGAACATTCCAATAAGTCAAATTCTTTTGAGTTGGAGATAGTTAAATTTTCACAGTTTAGCTATCAGACATGGCATACCAGGCCAGAGCCAGTCACCAGTTGGCAGTTTGGCCTCCACCTCGATTTTGCCGTACTTGAAGGCGAAGCTGTTGACGGTGCGCAGACGGGCAGAGCGGGCGGGGTTGATGTAGTTTGTCCCCGTGCCCGTCCGGCTGCAGCCCCAGAACGCATTCCCGGTACAGTAGTCCGCCGGAGACATACCTGGTATGGGTTGGAGAGAGAGAGAGAGAGAGAGAGAGTTGTATTCAGTGATTTATCCAGAACCATGCTCAGGCAAGTGTTCTGGATAGTCTAACCGCATCCAGAACCGTGCCTGAGGCAAATCTACATGTACGTATTTCTTGGATACGCGGAGACTATCCAGAACAGAACCGTGCCTGATTTTAAGTTTCTAACCCTAACCCACTCAGCCATAGAACTAGATAGACACAGTGTACTATAGGAGATAAGGGTGGGGGTGGAGCCTAGTAATACTTCTGCCAAGATAAGCTTAATTTTTGTCAAACAAGGATATATTGTGTGGCTGGCAGCAACATCCAACTCACCCCATATGTCCACTGTCTCACTGCTCAGGGCCGCTTCCCCGAACTTTTCTGACGTCAGAGTCGGCTTGATGAAGAGGGTGTTGTCACGGACGTAGCTGTTGGAGCGATTGTTGACGTACATCTGGAACTCCCAGTTCTATTGGATGAAAAACAAGAGTCGTCATCATGTGAGTAGCACGTGATTCATCATGTGAGTATCACGTGGTTCGCCATGCATATCACGTGATGGCCACATGCATTTAACTCATACTATAGTCATAGTTTGAGTACTAGGTAGAAGATGCAGGAGTTTGACACGTGATCACCACGTGATAATAACATGTATCTGTAAGTCGGCGCTCCATTGGCTGAAAACCTACGGATGTTGGAATGTGATCATCACAGAATTTCGTGTAACCATGTGATTGACACGTGATCGTTACGTGATCACTATCTAAAACTTGAGTCTGCTCACCCCTCCGCCGCTCATGGTGAGCTCGTGTTGCCAACGGTCGAAATCCAGCTTGTCCCAGTTCTCTTCGAAGATCAGCCCGTTGCAAGGCGCCACGGTTTGGTCGCACGCGGCGTCACAAGGGTATTCCTTACAGTTGGCAGCGATTCCAAATGTGGTACCTAAGAACATATTCAAACGTCTACTTATTGCTTTTTGCATCATTCTTGGTATTTTCCATAACTATTACAGGGTCGACTCAACATAGACTGGCACCATCCATGGACGGCTGGTGACACCTGAAGCAAATTGAGATGACCAAATGAACATGCACATAATGAATCAACGAATAAAACGAATAAACAAGATGGCCGACCATGACGTCACAAACCAACATGGCGGCGCCCAGAGACTTGAGGCTAAAACAGAATGGGTACTTTTCATGGGCAAATGGAACAATTCAAAGTAAAAAAAACATAAATGATAGGATTAATGAACGAACGAGTGGATGGATGGACAGGTCAATAATGAATGAATAACAAGAGTTCCACGATCTCATACCTTCGCCAAAAGATTTTAACCCTTGCGGGTGACGAATTCTACAATTTTAATCATTGATTTTGTAAATAAGAGCGTCATTTGCATGGATTATATCTGTTGATCATATTCTCCACCCAATGACAGCCTTATCATAACAAAAAGGCTATTATAGCACTTCCTCATAAATTATGCAAATGAGGTCATGATTTGAATAAATTATGTTTATTAATGCTCACCTTCACTTAACTTCCAAATGTGGCAAGTATGAAATTCGGGGTGCAGCAGTTACAACTATGGAATTATAAGAATTTGCCATTAATTATGCAAATTAGGTCCTCATTTACATAATCTATATCCTCAGATGTTTTTCTCGTTCTCAAGTAGATGTTACAACTGTTTCATAGTTCTATTATCGAACAAATCAGATTTATAGAATTTCCTCATTAATTATGCAAATTAGCTCCTGATTTGCATAATTGCCATCTGATTATGTCAAGCATCACTTCAACTACCTACATACCAAAAATCACGACAATACGTCAACCGGTTCTTGAGTTATCGTCCTTCAAATTTTTTTCAACAAATGCTCCTGAAGTTCCAGAACAAGGCGCTAGGGGACCCAAACTCATGTCACTTCTTTCCTACCCCAAGAGCTATCTACCAACCAAAATTCGTGACCCTAGCATGTCCAGAACATGAGATATCAAAACCGGAAGTTCAGCTGCAGTACCTAGGAAAGCCGCCAGGGGGCCCAAAATCTAATCATTTCTAGGTCTCATGAAGTCCTACCCACCTACCAAGTTTCATTCCAATCCATCCACTGCTTCTTGAGTTATCTTGCTAAACCACACACACACACACAAACACACCCACACACAGACAAACGCTACTGAAAACATAACCTTCTTGGCGAAGGTAATAAAATGAATGGATGGATGAATGAATGAGAGAATGAATGAATGAATAGTAGGACAGACCTCCTGTGAGTCCACCTGTTATTCCCCCTGTGATCCCGCCAGTGATCCCGCCGGTGATCCCGCCTGTGATCCCACCAGTTGTCCCACCGGTTAGCGTTGTCCCGCCGGTTGTCCCACCGGTTGTCCCGCCAGTTGTCCCACCGGAAGTGCCACCGGAAATCCCACCAGAGATCCCGCCGGAGATTCCGCCTGAAGGCGCGGCGGTGGTTGTTGTCGCGGCGGTTGTCCTGGTGGTGGTAGCCTGGGTAGTCGTTATAGCTGGAAACAGATTCCACATTACATGGGACCGTCGAAAAGTGAGTTTTGTTTCCTCCGGGGAGGGAGGTATTGTTTTGGGTGCCTGAGTTTGTGTGTCTGTTTGTCTGTGCTGTGCAGGAATCCAGGATTTGACGGCATTTGGCTGTATAAAAACCACAAAAGGTTAGACGCAGGAAATGGGGTCTGAAAGATTATGGTGCCAGTGGGAAATCTATAGACATAGTAAAAAGAGAAATTCACAATAAATAAAACAAGAGATTCCAAACAACAAAAATCTCTTAATAGTCCCCAGAGGTTTGAAATATCCGCTTTCAGCTTGTTTGATTCTGTGGTTTGAGAATCTTCAGGTAACCAGACAGAAATACAGCCGTTTTCTCATTGGTCCAACCGTTAATTGCCATGCTACCATTGGCTGAACAGTTAATTAAGATGGACATCCAGGATGGATCTATTGTTGGGAACAGAGACGAACTGCTTACGGGAGGGGACCGTCCATGACTGCTCGGTCTTCTGGAACCCCCCGCTGTTGTGCACGACCAGGATCCAGTAGTAAATGGTTTGTCCCGGACGCACGGTGATGCCCTGGTCTTCGTAGACAAACGCGCCACCTGTGAAAATGATGCTGAATTGCAGTCAATGTTGACATGACAGGAAATCATGTCAGAGACAAAAAAGTCATGAAATAGTCTGGAATCAGCCCCATGCAGGACTATCGTCACTCTTTTCACAGTCTAGCACTAAGTGGTAAAAGCATTTTCTCGTGGCCGGCTACCAGGTTAAAGCTGCATTATGAAGCATTAGGCCACACCAATTTAATTTCTTGGTTAACGGATTCGCCCGCTTATTTTTTTCTGATTTGCAAAAAATCAGAATCAACTGCAAAATGCTCATATTTTGCCTTGAACAGTTGAAAACAGTATTTTTCTTCCTAGTTGTTACAGTTATTCCATCTTTCAATGCAATGGTATCATTAAAAGTTCAAAATTTATTGTTTAAATTTTGAACCAGCCTGGTGTGTTGACTTCATAGCTCCTATCGTACCATTTTGGGCCATAATAGGATGCCTAGGCCTGTTTTTATTTTTTTATTATTTTTTTCACCCGCCCGCTCCTTCATTTTTCTACAAAAATCCGTTAACCAAGAAATTAAATTGGTGTGGCCTTAGCACGATACAAAAAGTAAATTTTCTAGTCATTTATTTACGAAGTAAGTTGAGTCAACTCTATAGCAAAAAAAAATTGTGCTATTCAGTAAGTGTAGGTGCCAAAATATGACGTCGTACAAGCGTGCTTAAAAGCTAGAAACACAGTCATGTTTGTTTACATTCTGGTATTTTGTGGTGGCACCACAAACTGAGTGCACCTTGCGTGAGCTGTTTTAGCACCAACTAAAATTGTCATATCAATGTGAGATAATTACATAAATATGTTCAAAAGTGACTTACAATCAAACGAACATTTTTTTCAATTAAAATATCACAACTTTTGCTGCGAAAAAATGTTTCATAATGCCCCTTTAATATCTTACATAATTTGATGACTCCATACCTGACTTATCAACGATGTCGATGTTGTACTGTCCTGCTGCCACCCCGGCCAGCGGAGTGTCAATGTTGAAATGCAGGCCAACTAGGTTCACGCCATTGGTGTCTGTACATGGAAAATAATCAAACTTTTCGTTGAAGAGGTTCATCACTCACGTAGAATTAACAGTTAGTAGAAATTCTTCGATCAGTGACTGTATTTTTGTAAGGTAGATTACGTACCTCCAAATTTCTCGCGAGACTAGGTCACTCCGTGAACAAGATGTACAGTGGACATAGAAAATTTGGAGGTACGTAATCTACCTTACAAAAATACAGTCACTGATCGAAGAATTTCTACTAACAATCAAACTTTTATAAAACATTTATTGCAAATGAGTTCCCGAGGGCCAATTGTAAGTACATTGGAAATTATAAAATAGTACTAAACAATAAAGATGAGCATAAAAGGAATTGAGAATCCTCTATGTAATTATGCTAATACTAAATATGGTTATTGTTGGGTTTGATTTTTACCCCATCAAAAATTGAGGTATTGTTTTTGGTGTGTCTGTGTGTGTGTCTTTCCTTAACATAAACTATACATATTGAATAGAGGTATGAGATTTCCGAATTCTTGTTTCTTAATGCAGTTGAGCATGGCATGCCCAACGTTCTGAGTGATATATGTTTTTGTTGGGAGGTGTTTTCTGTAGGTTGGAAAGGTGTATAAAGCTGAGAGACATTTTGTTGACTACTTGAAGTAATTATCTGTAATGAATTAAGAATGTGCAAAATCCCAAATCTAGACTCAGATATACAATTCTTTAGAGAAAAAAATTGAAAAAAGTAAATCATGAAATTTGAAATATGGAATCTCATGCTTGGCAGGCTGATGTGACGAATTTGAATTCAAAATCTAACGGTTTAACGGACAACCAACCTGTGTACGAGATCCGAAGTCCCTGCGGTGACATCATCTCGAACACAGGGTCTCGTACGGTATACTGTGCGCATGCGCACGAGATCAGCGCCAACACATACAAGACAATCATCCTGGCTGAAAACACACAAACAGTTTTTAGAAATATTTATAACGGTCGCATTTTGTTGTTGATTATTTATTATTAGCAATGATATGGCGTGGGAAATATTATCAACAAAACATGTGGTTAGATTCTTGGCATGACGATGTTGCTAAATTGAAGCAAGGAGTTTCAATTTTCTTTGGTTTGAGAACGTTTTTCGTCCAATGGCTGTTCACAAAAACAGCTTTTTCTTAAATAGCTGCTTTGATACATTTTTGTTAAAATGTACAATCCATAAAGCTACTAACGACACGAATGAAACACCAGAATAACAATTTTTTTGAGGATTCGATTAAGAAATATGATCGTAATCTACTACCTACATAGCTGTGGTTATGATAATTATGTTGAAGAAACGGCTCTAAAATAAGAAGCCAGATGATACAAACACAGTATGGCATAGTTTCTACTGTATATCTATAATTTTCAAGATAAGAACGTTAAATTTACCCCAAACTGAAAAATGGCACATACCCAATAAAAGCTAAAGTCAAAAGAAACACAGTTTACACTTCATACAACGTTCTTAGAGGCATCCAATGCGATTTCAGGGCGGGAAAACTGGAAATATTCTTGATAAGTCAATCTTTGTGATATTGGCACATACTACTTCACATTAGCACATTTGAATCAGTATTTCATACTTTGGGCTTTCAAAAACTTCAGAAACAAGCCCCAAGATTAGCCTTTATTTTCTGGGTGGTACCCTAAAAATCAGCCCAGGGCCCTTCCAGTGACCATTTTCCGTCAGAATTTTGGGAATTTTTGTTCCATGAGGGTCAATATACATTGGGATAGTGTGGTTTCAACTCAGTATGTAGATAAATGACTAGAATATTGGCTTTGAAAAATAGGGTTTCCAAGCCCTAAAAACTGCACTGGATGCCTTTAAGATTAAAGACATTCAGTTGGTAAATTATGATAAATAACGACTTACCTTTAGTGATCTCCCTCTAGAAGAAACAAAATTAAAGCCGCCCTGACCAGTTATATAACAGACTGGCGAGGCTGGGAGCACCAGTGCCTGTTACATAGGTGCGCTAGTTGACACAGGATATTTGTTTTAACTATCATATCAGTATTGCTTCCGAGCATTGATCATATTTGCCAGAACGATATATATGGTATATCGTTTCTTAAATCTACTGGTATATTTGTATGTGTCCTTAGAAGGCTGTCTTTAGGGCTTATGGTGTTCTTTTTTGTTGATTTTGTTTCTCGGTACTCCCAAAGAGACTGAGAGCTTTCAAGATCTCTCAAAGACATTTTCGGCCGCAGTAACTATTAGATATATATGTACACTATAGTAGTAGACTTTATTATCTTGATTCTATATGTAAATGCCTACAGGGTGCGTTGTTGTAGGTTTGTTTGAAACCATTGAGCATGACTTGCTATAAACGTTATTGCAAAGTCATGCTCGAATATTATGCTGGTAACAGGTTAACAACTTTTTAAAAAGAAGACGTTTTTAAAGGCCAGGACATCATAATATACACTGTTAACTGTTCGGTTTGAAATATTTGAAAAATTGAGGAGTTTTACTGTATTATAAAAATTAGAGTGGTCAAATGTACGGTGACTTGATGACTTTTTTGTTGAACGAGCGAACGTTGACATTTCATCCATACTGGTAAAAAAGTTACATATAACGTTATATTTTTCTAATCTCCTTTTTTTCTCATTAAGGCCATGTTGATTTGATTATATGGATGACATCCTCCGGGAGCCCCAAAAGTGATGCGCGCTTGCGAATAAAAAAAAAAGTTTTGCAAAAAAAAAAGTTCTTTTCATTATGAAATCTACGTGGTCATGAGGGTTGAGCAAATGGCACAGAATATGGTTTGGCGAATAATCTAGTCTTCAAGTTCATTTCTTTACAATTTCGTCTTTTTTCGTTTGATTTTGGCATTCTACGACATTGGTATAGTTTTTATTAATATTTTTTGTAACTTATGGTATATTTTTGCTCATTTTGCAACTGTTTTGTACGATTTACAGTATGGTTGAAAACTTTTTTTTTGGAAACGGCCGAAAATTCATGCGCGCGCGGATGTCATCCATATAATCAAATCAACATGGCCTAACATTTAAGTGGAGGAAAATTCAGGAGTTGTAACAAAGGTGTATTTACTATGCGTTATGTGCGTTCAGTATTGCTCATGATAATTTCGAATTCTGTGCTGGCTCTAATTTCTAGATTAGCAGAGCCCATCCTTGGTTAAAATGACCTTATATTCACCAGTTTCCCATCCCCAGGATGCAATGCGAAAACAGGGGTCTAAACCTCATTTGCATAGGACAGTAAGGCATCGGAATTATCCTGTTGACGTTAAACAGCTTTTTTCAGTGTATTTTGAGGTGTTGCGGCATTTTATGCTCAAAGTTTATCAAATGGGTTGAATCTGACAACAAATAGAGAATTGATTTTTTGGAATATGTGGTTTGTAACGTTATAGAAGTAACGCTATTCCGATGCTGTAACGTTACAAACCACATGTTCCATGTTGGAAAGAACACTAAAACTTCATTCTCTATTTGTTGTCAGATTCGACCCATAGTAATTTAATTAATGTTGAGCATAAAATACCCCAACACCTCAAAATACACTGCAAAAAGCTGTTTAACGTCACCAGGATCATTCCGAAGCCTTCCTGTCCTATGCAAATGAGGGTTAGACCCCTGTTTTCGCATTGCATCCTGGGGATGGGAAACTGGTGAATTGCATCATTATAACGTTAGGGTACGTGTGAGTTTTCCCATCTGGATAAAGGTCACATAGGTTATCCCGACCGGTGTTACCATGAGTTGCAAAAGTTTTCTGGTTATGTCATTGTTTACAGACATGCTGTTGTGTGTACAGTGTACAGTGTAGTGGTGTCAGTAGGAGTTATGAAGGGTAGCTAACCTTTATCGCTGTGTACATTTGCGAGGCGTGGACTGTACAGTATGGTGGTGATATCTCTGGCGAGAATCATGTCAAATGACTGACCGAGAGGCCAGAAAACCACAGTATCAGATAAGGCCACACCAATTTAATTTGTTGTTTTTCGGATTCGTCCTGTCCATTTTTTCCTGATTTGCAAAAAAAAAAAATGTTCTAGATAAACGGCAAAATGTTCAATGAAAGACATATTTTGGCCCCGACGATTGCAGAAAGTCTTTTTCTTCCTAGTCGCTAAAGTTTTTCAATGCAAAAAATGCAATTTTGTTTCTTTAAAAGTTCAAAATCTATATATCGTTTTGATTATAAACCAGCCTGGTATGTTCACTTCATGGCTCATATTGTAACATTTTCGGCTGTCATGGGGTGCCTTTTTTATTTCGCCCTGTCACTCCTTTTTTTTTCTAAAAAAATCCGAGAAACAACAAATTAAATTGGTGTGGCCTATCCACAGGAAGAGAAAATGTAGGCAGTATCCCAGTGAATTTTCCTCCTTGTCTCTTTCCAGCCCGGTACAAAGTGAGGTCTTTCGGCATCCGTAGAAACGAGAAGATCGCCGTCCACTGTACGGTCCGCGGCGCCAAGGCCGAGGAGATCCTGGAGCGCGGGCTCAAGGTCAGTCAAGGTCAAGGTTACAACATGTTCTAGATCTTTGTGGTTTTGATTTAAGTTTTAATGATGTATTCTGAGGCCTAAGGAAAAATGTTGTTTCCTGTTTCAGTCCTGAAAAAATTAGGGTCCGTAGGTAGGGATTATCTTTTTTTTTAGTCTTCAGTGATATCTATATAGGGATCCAACTTATACAATACAGTTTATCAAAGTAAAACTTGGATGAGGACACTTTTATTTTCAATGTCATTGTTCAAAAACCAATTGTACAACGTTTTATCACTCAGATGTCAGATCATGGAGCTAGAAAAGGTTGATCACCTTGACAAATTTATGTCCCTTCCAGGGGTCAAAAAAAGTGTAGGGTTGGCAGGTTTTTCTAGGGTCAGTTGGAAACAGGAAACACAACATTTTTTTCCTAGGCCTGAGCAGCTATTAATGTGCTAGCAATTGTGCATAACAAACTTGCACATGTTAGCTTGAAAGTTCATCTGTGTTGGTAGAAGTTTGTGAGAAACAACTTTGAACTGTAATTTAAATAAGAAAGCTCATTACTAAATTATATGTAGTTTGAACATGCTTATTAATTCAGAATTATGTGTACAATTTGTAAAAATTTTCCAGACTTAACCTATCCAGTGTTAATAGTCTGTTTTCTTAGAAATTTGTTTGAAAATTAATCTTTTTTTCTTTCCCCGCTACAGTATGATGGCATCCTGCTCCCCGGGAAGTAAACACCGACCACCAGAGGAGGACGTTCTGTCATATTGTCTGTAGACTCGTGTAATAAACCAAACTTCTATATACACAACATTTCTGGATCTTCTGTGTAACTTTTGTGTGTGTTACTATGTACATCTGTACTTGAGTGAGCAAGTGTAAATGAGTGAGTGTGTGTGCGTGTGTGTTTTTTCGTGTATGTATGTGTCCATGTGTCCTGGTGTGTCTGTGTGTGTGCACGCTTGTGTGTGTGTCTGTCCATGTGAGAGTGTGTGTACGCTTGTGAGTGTGTGTGGTCTGTGTATGTATGTGTTCATGTGTATGTCGGTATGCTGGTGTGTGTGTGTGTGCGTGTGCGTATTCCAATTCCAGCCATTCACTTGCTACATCCCACTTCCAGCCCTGTCCATTTGTATTCAATGATGACAAGACAAGAATACAAGTTCAATCATCTATTCTAAACAACAGCAGTTGGGTAGTATACAAGCCACTTCACAGATAGGATCAGAAGTTACATTGTACACTGTCACTCTGCCCAAAACACCTCAACAGAAAGAATACTTAGCTTCATCTACATTAAGACTGCTTTGTCCTTTGGCCTAAGATTAACAGTATACTAGTACATCTTAATCTGCTCCGGCATAATATAATAATCTTGGGTAATATCATTCCAATGTTTGAAAATGAGTGGCAATTATACGTCCAAGTAATACTAGTACCCACTCAAATCTAATACAATATCAATGTTTGTAATGAACATTGTAACACACGATTAGATAATATCAGAGCACAACATGCCATACAAAAGCACATTATGACTAGATCACTAATTATATTACTTTACAAGCAGAGGTTTGGGCTTAGGCTAATTTTTTTTTTGGGGGGGGGGTTCATCGGGCATTCTTTTTTGTACTTGTATCATTTTTTGCCAGCCAAATGAAATAATCTTTGGGTGTAATATCGGCTACTGCCCTTCCAGTGATATTGTTTGGCCAATTTGACTGTCTTGTAGCCACCGAAATATCTGCTTGAAAATATAAAGCATATAACATAACATTCACCAGCCATCATTCAAAATGTTAAAGTTTACAGATATGCTGCTCTTATACGTACAGCAGCCTGTTCTAATTGTCACAAGCAATGATGAATGTACTTTGTCTTCAACATTTATGGAGTATTAAGTAACAAGCAATGTCACTCTGAAACTTCTGAAATACACAAATATAGGAACACAACCACACTAGCTTTGTACATGCATTTTAACTACGAGCCAAATATTTTTCACTAGAAAATATTAGAATATGCTGGGCCCATTCTGATCTTACTATCACTCCATCTATCTATCAATGAGTCTTGGGTAAATTATAAAGAATCCGGTAATACTGGTATAAATTCAGATAACATAAACTTTTAGATGAATGTCAGTATGCTACTGGCAGCTGTGCAGTTGACATGGGTGGTGGCCTGGCTAATACAGTTTAGCTTGCCAATTACATAGAGTAGTTAGCTTGACCAGTAATGCAGAATGTAAAGTACTACTACTGCATTGGCCGTTCTGTCACTAAACCATTGATGAGTCATGTTCTGCATGATAGTGGGAGGCATTGGCTGACAGTTATTTTATTAACTGTTACATGTACAGTTCAGTTCTACAAAGCCCAAGCCTATACGGGCTGCAAGTGAACAACACATTTTTAAGGCATATTTCAAACACACGAGTGCCAAAGCTAGTTTAGCTAGGCTCTGAAAAAAACATTTCAATTTGCATGCAAGGTGCAGATACAAGTAAGCACTGATTTAAGTTTGACAGGGCTGATTTCAAATTTGAAGAAGGCTGACTTTCCAGACTGGATCTTGTTACAGTTATCTGAGTCATTCTTCATGGTTACAATGTTACTAGTACATTTAAAACCAGTATGTTCATCTTTAAAAAAAATGACCAGTAAGATGCTAATTCGTCCCTGTAATTGGCTAGATAGTCTGGGATATTTCATGTAGTTAGTATTAGTTTGTGTATGTACCATTGTTGTTTCTTTGCCATACATTGTACCAGCTACAGTTGTTGAGCAATAAAGTTGATTGATTGATTGTAGCTGCGGGGGTCAATGCACCATTCAAGCTGCTGGAAAGGTCACAGTGGGGCATCTCCTTGTTGCTCTTGCCCAGGGTCTAAATTGGGGTCTTTAATTCATTAAAGTTGCTGTGTGCAAACATTTATGTGCTTGCTACACAGAATAGAACTAAAAGCCCCAATGATAAACCCACCTTCAGTGCTCTAACGTCCTTGATCAAATGCGTGATCAAAGAGATCACTGGCGCACTTCTCCATACGTGAAATCATTGCATCAAGGACTTTCCGCATTCTGTCCATGTTAGATGAAGCATTAATAGCAGCACCAATTACAGGAATGAAGAACGTCACAGCAGTTTCAACTAAACCAGGCATGATATCTAACTCCCTACAAATGGTACTCACAACTACCACTGTCTCAAAAGACTCATCCCTATCAAGGGTATCGTCTGTCCCGGCCAGCAATCTTGCAGACACGAACTTCTTGAGATCCTGCGGATTCTTCTTGGTCATCTTGGCGAGTTGTTCCACGGTATCTTCTGTCAGGTTAAAGGCCTCTTTGTAGCTTCTATACGCCGAAAAGACGGCCTCTGTAATCAAGGAGGGACAGGTTAGTACGTATAATAAGTTCATATGACTTAGCAAATGCACATATGAACGGCAACCTGACATTTTGATGAGTACGTTATAAGGAAACGCATTTTATCCCTTTCGTAAACTTCTAATATGTTTTAGGGATCTAAAGTATTTTTTGTCAAGAATCAAATAGCTTGAACACAATTACATCACAATATTCTTCTGCATACCTACTAAAACCTGTCAAGCGCACCAATTGGCATGGACATTTGATTTGTTGCTTGGTTTGCTAACGAATCCCCCCCCCCAATGTAAGTCTTGTCACATACCGGGAACAGACGTAATGCCAAAGAATGGAACAAAGGAGCCCGCAGTTGCTGCCCAGGCAACGTTTGCCTTCTGGCTCCTGAGGATGTCTCCCCTTTCTTTGATGGTGCCCTTGGAGAAGTCTCGGCAGGTGGTGATGACAGCCATCTTCTGCAAGCCGCTCAAACCATCGAACATCGCCTTCCTGAAGCTAGGTATGTCCCATTCGCCCTTCAGCACGCTGTCGTACCGACCGCTGATGATGAACACATCCGTGGCTGGCACCTCGCCTTTCCATCCCACCTGCTTCAGGACGCTGATGTAATCATCGCGAAGCTCCTCCATCAAGTTGGCCACCGCTTCGTCCCATGTCTTGCCCTCAAAATAGTCGGGGTCGTCGTTCTTCCTGTCCGCCAAATCTTTGTCGAACTGTGACCTGATGAACAGAACCCTCTTCCCCATATCCCGGGCCTTCATCCCGATCTGCACGGCGTTGTGCTGGATGCGGCCGCTGCTGAAGACTAGGAACACGTGGCATTGCTGCATCTTCTCTCCAAACTCGTCGAGATACTGCTGGATGTCAAAGTCGCGCTTGTCTGAGGTTCCTTTCGTCAGGAGCACACCGGGAAAGTCGACGAAGCAAAGGCTTTTTGGGCGATTTGGATCGGGATAGTCCGTGGCTTCCGATGTAGTGTGACAAAGGCCGACCTTCGCCGCACCCTTTTGCTTTGGCTTCAGCTCTCGAATGGAGTTGATAAAGGTGCTCTTCCCCGCTCCGGGGTCTCCCACGATGCCTACGTACACTTTCTGCTTCTTCCAAGCCTCCATTTTTGTTGCTGCGTACTCTTGGAGCTTCTTCAGTATCTCTGTGCCAGCCCCGCTAGGAGCAGCTGCCAAGCTTTTCAACATTTTCTGTTGCTCTTCGTCTAGTTCTCCCATCAGCTTCCTAGTTATGGAATTGACAAAGCGATGGATAATTACAAGAAGTTACCCCCATACCTTTGTCAATAAATAATTTCTCGTTAACTATGAAAAAACGTTCCGCATATACAAACTTGTGACTACCTTTACACAAGAGCCACTGCTCCAATTTTCCCCCCGAGATTCTCTATCCCATTGACACAACGTTAAGAATCCTGTCTATAACTAGAAAGGCCGAAATTTGCGTTGGAGAAAATTCAGCATGGCTTCACCACATTTCACAACATGGCAGGGAAGAAGGAGAAATACAAGGGAAAACAATTCTTTACATTGATATAACTATAGTATGAAGTGACAACAGTTGGATAGCTATCACCTACATTATGGGTTAGGATTTTTAATTGCATAATGCAAACTGTTGATTTTCAAGACAAAGAAAGATAAGCGTTTATGCCTCGCATTCAAATGCTGGAGCAGGAAAGCTTGACATACCTATCAAAACACTTGAATAAAGTTCATACTGTCAATATGACATGGCTTTGTACAGATGTTAATTGAGTTAACCCAAACAAATCCCGACAGCCAATCAGCAAGAAGAATAGAGGAAAGTTTCATGCCTACTGGTTGCTTGCTCTGCATGCCCTTCTGATGACTCATGCGTGTCATGCCCAAATATGGTAACACACTGCCGTAGTACATTTTCTATAACACAGCCAAAAAGCTCAAACAAAACCATTCTAAAAGCCTGTATCACAAAATTGAAAAACCGCCTGGGGGTATTTGTCCACTCTACCTTCATGCCAAATTTCATGTTATTTGGCCCAAAAATGTGGAAGAAGTTGAATCAATTCTAAGAAATGGCAGGAGAAGGAGAAAGAGGAGAAGAAGAAACATGAGGAACTAGAAAGGGCGACATTTGATCGGGAGCAAATACAGCAGATGGCTTCACCACATCCCCACAGATGGCTTACAGGAGCCAAAAATGTACATGTTTGGTCCGGAAATAGCCAAGAAGCCCTATTTTACATAATTTTAAAGTGGTGTATGTCAAAGGGTGAATGACATTCTTTGGACATGTGTCCAAGGTATGCCAAATTTCAGGTCATTCAGATATAATATTGGGGCACAGGAGCCAAAAATGTACATTTTTGGTTCGAAAATAGCCAAAAAGCCCTATTTTTCACAATTTGAAAGTGATGTATATTAAAAACTTGAACGCAGTTTTGTGGACACATGTCCAAGGTATCCCTATACCAAATTTCAGGTCATTTAGTTTTCGTACCAGGGCACCAGATCCCAAAATGTATATTTTTTGCCTGAAAATGGTCAAAAAATAAAACAAAAAATGGAACAAAAAACGTCTGGGGTATTTGGCCCCAAAATCGAATCCACTTAACGAAATGGAAAAAACAATGAATGACGACCTTTATTGCACATTTTTGCCACACTGGGCTAAGTACAGGTCAAAACAAAACATGATGAAAAGATACATACAAAATAAAACTAGCTATCATTACATAAATTCAACTTCTCGCTTTTCAGTTATAGTAGAGATAAAGGAAAAGATATGTTTTTCGATGGAAGGTTTGTCAAGTCGCATTAGGAATATGAATTTTTCTACAGTGCTTAAGTGTATGAAGTAAGGAAATAGGTTTTGTACAAGCCTATACAGATCATTTCTCTCTTTACTATATAATCTACATTCTATAACAAAGTGACATTCGTCCTCTATTCTATACAAATTACAACATTTACATAACCTTTGTTCCAATATGTCTTCACCACATACTGTACACATAGTGGTGAAGCCATAATTACCACTTGTCCACATATAATAGACCTGATTCTATCGGTCCTCTACAGGGGGTCATCTGCGTGATCGTTTGATTCCATGGTCTTGGCTAGGTTTGACTCTATTTTGCATAATAATTGTAACGCTAATCTAAGTTATCATATATCATCAACCTTTGGCGAGAAGGTTACGTCTTTGTGGCCGATTGTCTGTGTGTCTGTAGGTATTTGGGCCCACTTTAGCTAGCAGTTTCCAGACATCACCAAACATACCTGCCATTCATGGCTACTGTTTAGGCAACAAGTTCCAGAGGTACTTGATACCTACCCTTATTGGTAAGTCACCCGCCCGGTTTGTGTTCAGTGATCCCTGCCTATCTCACCCTTGACTATGCCTCTGCCGTATCTTATGACATATATAAAGTTCAGATCCAGGGTTGTTGCACATGCACATGTGAAACCGTGGCTGGGACGTCAATTGCTATATACTATACCCACCTTGTATTCATCGATGTTGGTAAATATCCCTCTCTTTGTATTGTATAGTTTTTTTTACCTAAGCTTGTCACAACAAAGGGCATTTGATTTGAGCCTTGTGTCTCGTCCACGGGTTTATTATAGTACAGAATATTTGTTAAACATGGCACATTCTATAAGATCTCTCAACTTCGCCAATAACGTCTTTTATTCGTATTTTAGGTGACTGAGCAACACATTGACCATCATCATCATTGACCAGAATTGTTGACATTGTAATGTACATGTGAAACCGTGGCCGGCAAAATAACCTTAACTTCATGGACATATCTTTCTGCTTTAGTGAATTAATAAGTTAAAGGGTTGCTATTTCATTAATTCACTAGATAAAGACCTTCAATTCTTATTCTAGTGATTTTTTTTTATTTACTTCTTGATTCACCGCAAAATAAAGCTCATGAGAGCCACTCAAATGTTTTGGGTTACTGTGCAGCCAGTGAGGACAGATGTTTGTTGACCTTAGACTTGAAAAGTTTAAGGTTATAACCATATGGGAAAGAATCATGTGGTAGCTTATTCCATAGGAAAGAACTTCCTCCTAAGAGGTGGTGAATGGAGGGGAAAAGGGTGATTTGCTTCAATTCAGTGGAAGTGGCCAAACTTGTCCTTGCTGAGAATGTTCGAAGTGGGGGCACTAGCGAGTGAAGTTCCTCGGAGCATTTGCCGTGGAAAAGCGATAGAATAATGTCGGTCTAAACTGGCTCTTGTAGTATAAGTATAAGATAGCTGATGGTGTTAAATAATTTTTGGCATGGTGCAAAGAACCCACCATTTTCGAATTAATGAGATCGCTATCTCATTTTTTAACATACTAGTAGATAGAGAGCAAAAATTCTCCTAGTAAATGAATGAGACCCAGTACCAGACGAGGATCCACTCGAGTCATAACTTTCTCAAATTGTGATGTACATGTACACAAACGCACACGTACGCACGCACACACTCCACCGAAAACATAATCCTTCTTGTAATGAGGTTATAGGTACCATGGCTCCATATCTCCGCCAATTCATTTGTTTAGAAATATCGTTTGTTTAGAAATAACCCATCTCACTGAAATGTTCTCGCATGTTTGCCTACCCATGTGGACTCATTTTTTAAAGATATGCTTAAGGTTGCATTCCTCTGTACATATCATACTTCATTAAAAATGCTACCATTCACATGCATGTTATATGTTACAAAGGTAGAAATGCGGTGAAATGGACAATCAGTGTTTATTCTTCCTTCTCGAATTTCAGATATAGAAAGGTTTCTATATGTATACGTAACTGTACAAAGGTAAGTTACTCAAGTCACTTCTATAAACATAGTTTTTATAGAAGGAAACTGTCATACATGTAGTTCGAAATTCTTGCTACTTACACTGTTTTATCCTCCTTGCTGCACGCCATTGCTGATGATGGTCAATGTGTTGCTCAGTCACCTAAAATACGAATAAAAGACGTTATTGGCGACGTTGAGAGATCGTGCCATGTTTAACAAAAATTCTGTACTATAATAAACCCGTGGACGAGACACAAGGCTCAAATCAAATGCCCTTTGTTGTGACAAGCTTAGGTAAAAAAAACTATACAATACAAAGAGAGGGATATTTACCAACATCGATGAATACAAGGTGGGTATAGTATATAGCAATTGACGTCCCAGCCACGGTTTCACATGTGCATGTGAAACAACCCTGGATCTGAACTTTACATATGTCATAAGATACGGCAGGGGCAAAGTCAAGAGTGAGATAGGCAGGGATCACTGAACACAAACCGGGCGGGTGACTTACCAATAAGGGTAGGTATCAAGTACCTCTGGAACTTGTTGCCCAAACAGTAGCCATGAATGGCAGGTATGTTTGGTGATGTCTGGAAACTTACCTGGCTCAGGTAAATACCACTTTTAAACCCAACCCAACCAAATCATTTCAATTTCACCAAACTCACAACGTCTGGCAAAGAATGGATTGTGTCAGTCATTTTAAAGGTTATTTTCAGATTGGCAACTGTGACAGTTCAGAAATGAAAGTCACTCCTGTTCAAAAGATTCATGGCAGACGCCTTTGGTCAGCCAACCGGATCCCTTCTCCAGCTGCCACATAATTTCAATCTGAAAACAATATAAAAAAGCTGACGTCTTCCCACGACTCGTAGTTTACTTTGCGGGGTGTTTTACTCTAAGTGACCATGCCAAGAAGCGAACTGTTCGTTGATCCAAATAATAGTTTCAAAGAGGTTGATTTGGGCGGGAGACTTTTCATGCTGTGAAATCACCCCTTGTCAATCTTAAAGCACCAAAACATAGCAAATCGTTAGTTTTCTCATCACGTCAGCCACTCTAAAAGGTCCATACCTTTCGTAGAGGGAAGATGGTCACAGTGTTTGAAGTGCGGCCGTTTCACACAACTGTCAGGAATAGGTGTAAAGGCTTTGACTTGGACTTCTGTTGATCACCAACGAACCAAATATGGCCAAACACGTTCAGTTGCTACGTACGGTATCCAACCACGTGACCTGTTTCCATGTAACGCTATAAACAGATAACAACTTGTGTACGTGACGTTGGGACCCGTGTTCTTACAAATATACCTGCATGGGCCCAGCCGCTCTCATTGCTTCAGACCAACGTCGGAACGGATTGTACCCTTTCCCCTGAAACTGAAAAAAGGTAATGCGATGTTGTAAAGTTTTCTTTGGGTGGATTGTGATCGCCAGTTCCGTAGTGTTTCCGCGACAGGTGGTTTTTCATGCGTGTCGGTAGCTGTTTTTGTCTCGCATGAAGGTGAGGCAAGGGCGTGGAAGTAATGTGCCCTTTGAAGCCCGCGCCAGCCTTCATGTTGGATTACGTCTGAACACAGTGTGCTAGAATCACCAAAATTGGCGACTTAAGTATATAACAAATTAGACTTACCAATAGTAAGCCCCAAGTACGCCTATCTACGTCTGCTAGGTACCGCCTGGAAATGGCTGCCTCAACTTAGCGCCGAATGGCAGGTATGTTTCGTGATAGACTTACCTGGCGCTGATAAATCATACTTTGATAGGATGAAAGTTCATCTTTGTTGGTATACTTCATTATCATAATGACAAAAATGCTAAACGTTCTGTCCAACGCTGAGTAAATGGGGACTTACCCAAATTTTCGGCCGACAGTGTTCACGGAATGCGCCCTTCTACTGCAGCTTCCGGAACATGACGTCGGAAACATGTGATTACCCACGGTCCAATCAACCTCTTCGAAACTCAGCCACGATCCGACAAATCGCTTCCTAGTTAACCTAACCCACAACATCTGGCGAAGGTTATTAGTATTCTCAGATTGCAGATTGTAGCAGTTCGGAAAGAAAGTTATCCGGATATCCGCGAACGGACCATCACTTGTTTTCCACTCCCGGGCGCCATGGTCAGCTAGGCGGATGATTTTCATTTTCAAACTGCCACGTTTCAATCTGAAAACAACCTTTACAAAAATGCTGACACCCACGTTCAACTAGTGGGTCTATTTTACCAGATGTTAACGTTCTACATAAGGTGAAATAAGGGGCGAATTATATTGTCGAATCATGGCTGATTTAAATATCACCGGAGTTTCGAAGAGGTTGATTTTAGCGGAGTAACTTTTCGTGCAAAACAACCATTGTCGTAGTCAAATAAAGCACCTGCTTTATAACAGACAGCATACGTAGTCGTAGACGGAAAATGGTCACAGTGTTGGAATTGTAGCCGCTTCACAAAAGGTCAGTACAAATAGATGTAAAGGCTGTGACTTGGATTTCTGTTGATCACCAACGAACCAAATATGGCCAAATACATCCACTTGCTATGTACGGTATGCAACCACGTCACCTGTTTCCATGTAACACCATATACAGATAACAATGTACGTGACGTTGCCACCCGGGTTCTTATAAATATACCTGCATGGGCCCAGCCGCTCTCATTGCTTCAGACCAACGTCAGAACGGATCTTACCCTTTCCCCTGAAACTGAAAAAAGGTAATGCAACGATCTAGAGTTGTCTTTGTGTGGATTGTGATCGTCAGTTCCGTAGTGTTTCCGCGACAGGTGGTTCTTCATACATATGGGTAGCCTTTGTGGTTGTGTGTTTACATTAGTTGTTCCCAAGTTTCGCGTAATGTGCTTCATGTTGGGTAACGTCTGAACGGCGCAGTGTGCTAGGATCACCAGACTTGGCGACTTAAGTATATAACAAAACAGTTAGACTTACCAATAGCGATAAGCTACAGCTGCTAGGTGCCGTATGTTTCGTGATATATCTGAAGACTTACCTGCAACTGGCCCTGATAAATCATACTTTACTTGCTTTTACCCACGGTCCAACCGACCGGACCTCTTCCAAACTCAGACACGATATGTGCTTATTAGTTAACCTGGCCCACAACATCTGGCCAAGGGTACTAGTTTTTTAAGGCTGCAGATTGTGGCAGTTCGAAATGAAAGTTATCCGGATATCCGGATATCCGCGAACGGACCATCACTTGTTTTCCACTCCCGGGCGCCATGGTCAGCTAGGCGGATCACTTTCATTTTCAAACTGCCACGTTTCAATCTGAAAACATTTTTTTACAAAATGCTGACAACTACGCTCAACTAGTGGGTCTATTTTACCAGATGTTAACGTTCTACATAAGGTGAAATAAGGGGCGAATTATATTGTAGAATCATGGCTGATTTAAATATCACCGGAGTTTCGAAGAGGTTGCAATTGATTTTAGCGGAGTAACTTTTCGGGCAAAACAACCATTGTCGTAGTCAAATAAAGCACCTGCTTTATAACAGACAGCATACGTAGTCGTAGACGGAAAATGGTCACAGTGTTGGAATTGTAGCCGCTTCACAAAAGGTCAGTACAAATAGATGTAAAGGCTGTGACTTGGATTTCTGTTGATCACCAACGAACCAAATATGGCCAAATACATTCAATTGCTACGTACGGTATCCAACCACATGACCTGTTTCCAACGCTATATACAGATAACAACTTGTGTACGTGACGTTGGGACCCGGGTTCTTACAAATATACCTGCATGGGCCCAGCCGCTCATTGCTTCAGACAAACGCCACGGGAACGGATCTTACCCTTTCCTCTGAAACTGAAAGAAGGTAATGCGACGTTCTAGAGTTGTCTTTGTGTGGATTGTGATCGCCAGTTCCGTAGTGTTTCCGCGGCAGGTGGTTTTTCATGCGTGTCGGTAGCTGTTTGTGGTTGTGGTTAAGTTGTCCCTAGGTCTCGCATGAAGGTGAAGCAAGGACGTAAAAGTAATGTGCCCTAGCCCTTTGAAGCCCGCGCCAGTTTTCATGTTGGCGCAGTGTGCTAGAATCACCAAACTTGGCGACTTAATCTATCTGCTAGCTAGCGTCTGGAAATGGGTGCCTAAACAATAGCGCCGAAACTATGATGTCGAAACGCAGGTCACCGTGGAACACGTTATTCTCTAAAGTACGGCATATGCGGGTCACGATTGTAAATAAACAACTACCAATAGTGGCAACAAAAAGACCATAGAACTACATAATGTTTACATTTTTTCGACTGGAATGGACGAAGATGCAAACTATAGAGCGTTTCGCCACCTCCAACCTTGCGTGTACGTGTGTTAATTGCGCTAAATCGGTGCATTTTCACATGGAACAGTGCATATACATCACTGGTTTTGTAAGAACGTTAACCCTTGTACACATGTGAGCCTGTCTGCCGTCTTGGGGTGTCTCCTTGTCATATCTGGTCGCTTGTAATGTCAACCATTGCTGTCTGGGTATCCCATTGTGTTGTCATTGTTTTGGAGGTTGTTGTTTTCAGATCCCGTCTGTTCGGGGGATGGGGGTAATTATTATTTTTTATTATCATTATATTATTATCATTATCAATTATTTGCTATTATAACATCAGCACCCTGTTTTCGATTAACCAGGATGGGCAGTTGGTTTTCATCACCGTCACCACCACCACCACCACGACCATACCGACCACCACCATCACCACCTTCATCATCATCATCCGATAGTGAGCCGGAGCCCTATGAGTGAGTACTTAAACTTCTGCTGCAGCGTAGGTTTCTACTGGAGGTGCAAGTAATTTTTTCCATAAATACAGGCCTTTTATATATCAAAGACAATTGTCTTTTCGGTAGGCTTTTTTTTTGGGGGGGGGGCACCATAACTCAAGAAGCTATGAATGTATTGACGTGAAACTTGTGATGTTAGGTCTTGTCAATTAATCATAAAATGCTAGCAACGTAACAATAGAATTCATTTGCATGTGAACGATGAATATTGAGACAAAAGCGGTATATCAAACTTCTAAATTGAATGAAATACTAGTTCTGCCTTTTTTCACATAGTTAGCAATAACAGTTTTGTAACATCGTTAGTATAGAGTCTATACTACTTGAAAGTTTTGTTATCAATGCGTATGCTAGTAGAGTTGATATACGTTTTCGTGTTTTGTTGTCCACAGTCCCAAACCCGTGCCAAAGCGCACACGGCCTCACGAAGTTCGTATCGGAGTTGTGGGCGACCCGGGGGCGGGGAAGAGCACCTTTATCAACTCCATCCGAGGACTGAAGCCCCGGGACCCAGGTGCTGCGCAGACGGGGCTACATCACACCACTACCGAGCCCACAGAATACCCACATCCAAGTCGGCCTGACAGTCTGGTACTGATCGACTTTCCGGGCGTACTGCTGCGAAGATACAGTGGAAGGTACAACAGCTCTATCTGGCGACTCAAATTCAAAGGGCATATCTCTTGACTAAGATCTCTATTTCGCACGTCAACATACTATAAATTAACATTGATATCAGTATTACACGACTTTTAAACATTTGATTATTGATTCGCCATCAGGTATGGAAACTTCAAGATCGGACAGTATCTGATCGAGTTTGGATCCTACATGCGAAGTTGTGACGTGTTCCTGGTGTTCAGCAGCGGCCGCATTCAGCACAACGCCGTGCAGATCGGAATGAAGGCCCGGGATATGGGGAAGACGGTTCTGTTCATCAGGTCACAGTTCGACAAAGATTTGGCGGACAGGAAGAACGACGACCCCGAGTACTTTGACGACAACTCTGAGGTACATCTGATGGAGGAGCTTCGTCAGGACTACATCCGGGTCCTGCGTGACGTAGGCTGGTCGCGTGACGTCAGAGATGACGAGGTGTTCATCATCAGCGGCAGGTTGGGTTACGTCACACAAGAAAAGTGGGACATTCCCAAGTTGAAAAATGCGATATTTCAACAAACAGACGTCTTCTGATGTTTCGTAGCATTCATTGATTCGTGAGGGCTAGAAACCATGCAGTATCACCATTCGTCGATTCAATATAGCTATATAGTTTAACTTTAATTTTGATGGAGAAAGTGTTATGGAAACAGAGAGTCCATGCAGTGGATAGGCTTACAAGGTTCATGAATATGAAAATTATGCAGCATAAAAATGAAATTCTAAGTTTCAGCAAATGAGGCATATCGTCTAAAACCATTAAAAGAAAGAAACCCGGACAAATGACTACTTAAAAAAACGATTTAAACGGACCAACGCCATTATGAAAAATTTAAAAAACTGTGCTGCAAGTCATAAATTACACTTACCGGAATTTTCGACTGAATCACTCAGTCCTCCTCAGCTATCTGACCCAAATGCTGTGGACACGTGATTTTTCCCACGTGTAACGTCAGCAAATGTGCAAAGGTTGTCTAAAGTCGATATCGCCCCCCGTCCCGGTTGAGCGAAGGTTGAAGTGCCCTGATGTATATGGACTCTTTATGCCTCTCCTGTTCGGTATCCAAGATTCCGTAACGTTCGCTCAACCGGGACGGGGGGTGATATCGACTTCAGACAACCTTTGCACCTTTGCTAACGGCACACGTGGGAAAATCACAAGGGTTTCCAGGAATGTGGGCATACATGTGTGTCAGAAAGTAGAGCTGGGGGACATTCCTGTGGACATTCCATGCCTGTGGACAAAATACCTGTACAATTCCTAGAATTCTTACTAGCAAACTGCACACAATACTGCATCATTAGGCTCCTCAATGATACGTCGCCAAAAAAGAAACCTACGGCAGCCTAGAATCTCCACCCTCATTCCGATCCACCTATGCCAGGACTGAACGACGAAACGCACATAACGGGCATCAATGGGATAGTCCAGTAGGTTGGTCACAGGAGTGTTCGCGTCGGTGTTGCCTGCAAAGACCTGGAAGGTAACCAGAAAGTTAATCCAATAATTCTCCTAGAAGCATGACAATAACCCATATAAATATAAAACCATCCTTAAAATGGCTTCATATTGCTTCAGGTAAAAACTACGAATTATAGTGACCATAATGTACACATAGAAACCGGCAGACATGACCGGACTCCTGCAGAAGATAGACTCTGTAAGGTTTGTAACTCTGGTAGTGTAGAAGATGAAATACATTTTGTACTGGATTGTAAATTGTATGGTATCGAACGTGACACACTATTTAGAACAATCCACTTTGACAAACTGTATGAAGGTAAAACAAAGAAAGAGGTATTCAGTCATCTCATGTACACCAGTAAAGACCATACAATAGAATAGGGCTTATTCTTGTCCTCTTCCAAAACAATTAAAAGTATAATAATGATAAGAACAATAACAACAAGTAGTGGTAGGCGACAATTCTCCGTGAAGTTTTATATTTTGCATATTGGGAACAGTATAGTGTATGTAAACAGTGTGTGAGCACTTCACAACTGGTTACAACGTGTCATAAAAATGGCAGTACCCTGGTCAAATACATAAGATCGCGCTCGTGGCGCCGCCCCCCCCCCCCTGGGGTCATAAACCCCCTGCCGAGAGTTTGTACAAATACAGGCCAAATGATACCACTTGTCAGCTGGACACACACAGACTACATGGAACTAAACCCGACAAAATGCAAAGTGATGCTCATCAGTTTCCTGCGAAATCCCCCACCGGAACCTAGACTGCTGATAAATACATCAGAACTCGAGGTAGTACACGTTGCCAAGGTACTGGGGAGTAATATGCTCCAGGCTAGCCTGAAGTGGCCTGCCCATGTGACACTGATAATTGGCAAAGCTAACCATAGACTCTATATGCTCAGATGTTTAAAGAAGCATGGTCTCGATATGTCTGACTTAGTCCTTGTGTATATAGGGTTCGTGAGACCAACCCTTGAGTATGGCTGCCAAGTTTGGCACCCTGGCTTGTCGAAGGAGCAATCAGGGAAGATTGAGAAAGTTCAAGTTAGGGCATATAAAATCATTCTGGGAAGTATATACACTAACTATAATTCTGCACTCCGTCTGTGTGGCCTAACATCTCTAGATGTGCGACGCAGAGCTCACTGTGTTAAGTTTGCAAAATCTTTACTGAAGTCCGACTTTGTATCTTGGCTACCCTCACGCTGATGTACATGGCAGAAACCTCAGAAATTCTCATGACATAAGCCAGTTTAGGTGCAGAACGTCCCGTTTCTTGAACACTACTCTGCCGTACTGTGTTAAGGTATTGAACGATGAAAATGATCCACTTCATCAGCCTTTACGTATACAAGCCTTGCATATTACAACTGTAGATTATTTCCGTAATTTTAACTTAAAGTAAGCATTGAATCAACTGTTTTTATATTGCATTATTGTACTTTTAACGTGTTGTAATTTTTAATGTTAACTTGATATGCAACAAATAGGTTTTTTTTATCAAATGCAACAAATAGGTTTTTATCAAATGTAACGAACTTTTATCAAATAGCTGTATTATAAGCGCTTTTGTGTTTTAAAGCCTTCTCAATTCAGCCCAATATGGCTGCTTACAGGCTTTTGTATGTATCCGTATGGTACAAATAAACCACTCTCTCTCTCTCTCTCTCTCTCACACACACACACATAAGGTCAACAACACGACAAATTACTAAACAGATGAACAAAGTCATCTTCCATAACAATAGCTTTCATTTACTGCATAAAACGCAAGTATACAATTCAGCGCCACCAAGGACGTTGCCATGTACTTGAGATTATATTTACGATGAATCAATAAACAGATGTTAGAAATATCATTTATTTTATAAGATGTAGTAGTAGGTGCAAACTATAAGTCACAATATCCCAAAAGATACCCGCCAACGAGTACACAAAAACCACCCAATATCTGCTTACTGTACAATACAGCACCTTGCCTACAAACCACTATGGCCTATGCCACACGATTATAGAAATAGGGGTGTTTCTAAAATATGCATTTTCTTCAATATGAAAGCTGCTACGGTAAAAAAAAACACCTGCATCATCACGGACATAATGGCACACCACATACCCAATTACAGAAAAATACAATCGACACAACCATATTTTTTTTTATTTCGAACACATTTGAAATTTACCACCATACATAAACAACGCGAGGCGCGCGTCTGAAATATCATGTTCTAAGGCTGTCTTAAGCCAGTACTTGCCATTTAGTACACAGCTGCCTAGTTTCTCCGTTCAGCTAGTCAGAAAGGCGAACATTATTCAGGGCTAAGCGACGGGTATGATATAAGACGTATAACCCAGCAAAACCTAAACCACGTATGTTGTAAAATGTAGTATAATGGTATACGTATACGTAGGCTCTCATGTCATTGTATTTCTTTTTCATACATATTGTTTGTACCTGCAATTAGACCTCGGACATGTATTTGCAATAAACTTTCGTTATTCCCATATGTTGGCCTTGATGAGGAAGCCCCCCCTCCCCGTACATCTAGTTGGATTTCTGGTGACGAGGCACTATACACGTTAATCATGAGCTGCCACGTGTATTCATAGGTTATTGACATTTAATAACTGAAAGAATTTTGTAATAACTGCTGTTTACTGGTGTTTATGGGATCTATAATTTTTCGATGTCTTTCGTTCCTTTTTGCATTGTGAGATAGCATCCGCCGCTTCACGTCAGAGGCGACTAACAAGAATGTTGTAATAACTGTGAGACTGTTCATCCACGGAATCATCTCGTGACGAAGGTCAGCGTCAGACAAAAAGACTCAGACTGCGACAGATATTAAAATCTTCATGTTAAGATCATACACTGAATACTTTGGACGTCAGAAGAGAGATTCACATACAAAGGTTGCTAACAAACAACATTTTTTCTCGCTAAGATATCACGTTCTAACTCCTGAATAAATTGTCTGTCTTAAGCCAGTACTTGCAGTTGAGTACACAACTGCCTCGCTCGTTTCTCCGTCCAGCTAGTCAGAAAGGCGAACACTATTCACAACTAAGCGTCGGGTTTGAAAGTTGTCAATATGGAAGAAGACACTGACGGTTCGTCAGTAGAAGATGGCATGAACCATGATCTTTCAATCGGCTCAACATCTCGCGATCTGCAGACGACGTATCTCATCATCAGCCTGGTGTTGTCGGTAGGATGTGGCCTGCTGCTCATCTTCTTGGTTTGGAAGAAAGAGTATCTCCAAAAGCCCAGCCACTACCTGCGGTGTAACCTGGCGGTGGACGACATCGTCTTCACCGGCTGCCTGATTCCCGTCCGCGTCTACGCACTTTTCCGGCAAGACGCCAGCGGGGGACAGACGACAGGCAGACACTACAGTTTGAAAGAAGCTGCTAGAAGCCCAAAATTACACCACATACTCCCAGTCCCAACATCTTTCGACTACTTAAAAATCATCAACCTACAATTTCCTTAAAATATGACTTCAAACATTGAAGCTTTGCTACAATACCTAAAACAGCCACTAGGGGACCCATTATCCAGCTCATCTCCAACCACTTTATTCATTTATTGGTTTGGCTTTTCAAACCTCACAGCCAGGACAATCCAACTAGCCAGTGGCTATATACTAAAGACTTGCCCTACTAACACACAGGCATTGCAAAACATTACGGCAACATACAATTGCAAGATGGCTTAACAATCTACAAAGCTATTACATTATTCTGTGTAAATAAAATAAACCCTCTACACAGAAATACATGTATATAAAGGATTTCATGTGGAGAGGGTCAGTTAAGGTCAAATGAGCTCAATGAATGGTTGAGCTACCCTTCCACTGATTTTTGTCATTCATCAGTACCCACCCCTTGGAGATCGAAAAAGGGCGATACATAAAACTACCTGTGTCGGAGAGGATTTGTAAGTACTGTTACTCAAAGGCTGTGGTAGACAAAAATTATTTCATCTCTAATTGTGTTCATTTTATGACGATATCAGAAAACAATTATTTACCATCGTGTCCAAAATGCCCCGGTCCTTT